GGTGTGATAATATACAACACTCTGTATTCAGAGCTGACCTGGCCGGCGCCGGAATACGCTGCGGCAGCGCTCTCTGACATGCGCGAGTTTCGACCGGTTTTCGTGCGCCGCCCGGTGCGCTCTTATTTGGTACAGAGTATAGATATGAGTAAAATTTCCATCTATTAAGATAAGATTTATGGATCAGTATTTTAATAAACATTTTCAAAAAATATCCAAGTGTAAAATTATTAAGTTCTAAATAGTTGTACAGTAATACAACATTCATAGCCCTCAAAATAAATTGTAATCTACAGTAGTAAATATAAAAAGTGTAACAGAATGACCTGACAAATAAAAATTAAAAACTGATAATAGTAAAAACTTAGCTAAGTTAGCTAAAGCTTAGTTAACAAGTTATTAAAATGCCATGAATAATAAATAAGTTAAGAAATATATTTTATTTATTTATTCCTTAAAATATTGATATTTTAAAAAAATGATTGTAAGAAATAAACTATTTCACTTAAATAAACATTTTTACCTTCAAAATTAGACAAAGTATTAAAAAATGTTAAACTGTACTTGTAGCACGAGCATTTATAAATGATATACATACGTATTATGTATTGATGTATACATATAAAAAAAAGTGGTAAAATATTGATTAGAACCAAAGTTATTTCATGTGTTAGGTTATTATGTTACACTTTGTTACTACTTATGTTCATTAAATTTTAATTAATTTATGTTGAGTTGTGGACATGCCAAGTGTTAATATTTTTTATTAGATGTGAACATACCCAAATTCTGCAAATATTTGCATTACGGAAATTTGTCTATATTCTAATGAAACTATTGATAACTAATGTGTTCATTACCTTTTATAAATTATTACCTTTTTTTACATAATGAGATAAGTCAGAAGTAGATGAATTTGGGAGTGATTCCTATTAATTATTATTAGATTTAAGTTTATTTAGAATTTTATATATTTATTTAGACTGTTATACCTACATTTATTTAATAAGTAAATGTTTAGGTAAAAATAACTGTTACCGATTTTGTTTTTATCATTGACACCACTTTTTTTATCCTCACATGTCAACAATTTTTGTTTAAGCAAGTTCTAAAAAATAAAAGCAAATACTTCTTAGTATACATGTATACATGTATAATGTGCCGATTACTTATACTAATGCAGAGTATTCTGACATGATAGAAATGTTTTATACTAGTGGTAAAAGTACAGTTCAAACGCTTATACCTACAACAATTTCCCGAAAGAAGACAACCGTCACGATCCACGATTACAAATGTTGTACAAACATTAAAGCTACAGGCAATATTAAAAATGTATAGTCAAAGTATTATGTATTATAACTAATTTATTCAATTTTAACATTTATGAGTTTATAAATAAAATAAATAAATAAATTGGTCAGGCCATATTTTTATGATGGCACTCTAAGTGGGCAACGTTATTTAGAATTTCTAGAAAGTACATTGCCGTTATTGATGGAGTGTATCCCTCTTGAAATTCGGAAAACAATGTGGATACAGCAAGATGGTGCTTCTGCTCATAATGCAAAAGTAGTAATAGATTACTTGAACCAGCATTTTCCACAAAGTTGGTTAGGTACCCGTGGTCCACTGGAATGGCCTCCACGATCTCCTGATTTAACTCCTTAAGATTTTTTCATGGGGTTACTTAAAAGATAACGTTTATTCAGAACAGTCGACTTCTCTGAATGATTTAAAAGAGCGCATCACTAAAGCATGTAAAAAAGTCACATCACAAATGTTAAAGTCTGTCACATCGTCAATATTAGAGCGATATGAAAAATGTACAGAAAACGATGGTGGGAATTTTAAATATTATTTAAAATAGATATTAGGTACCAACTGAATTAACTGATTACTGAACTAAATATTGTTGATGCATGCATGTCATTATTTTATAATTGTTATTAATTCTATTAAACCATTTTAAACGTAGTAACGTAAAAGTTTTTTTTACTATAACCTAACCAGTAATTTTATTATCTCAGTAATGCTCTTATCTATTTCTGTGCATTAGCAGCAGCTGCCGGTGTAAATGGTGATAACTGATAAAATAAATAGTGATTACTACGTCTAGTCAGGTACCAGTGATGACTGATGATTGTTGATTATTTTATTATGATAAAGGAAAAAATTGTTCATATTTCCAAAAACTAAATAATTTGTAGAAAATTAACGGCAACACTTTTATAAATATTTGAACCATCAAAATTTTTCTAAAAATCGGCTTTATAAATTGGCTATTTTGAATTTTTCAAATACATTTTTATAAAATTTAAAATTTTTTATTTTCAGAATTAAAAAAGTAAATTTTTTTTTTTATATAAAACATGTATATTTCATACCCACAATTTAAATATAAATAATAATAAAAATAATATTAATATAACAAAGAGAAGAAAGATTAGAAATGAAATGGCCATGCTTGAACAAATCTATTCTATATCAGATATAAATTACGAGGAAATATCTACAGTTAGTGATGATGATACAGATAAACCGAGAGATAAACCATTGGATGATGCTGCTGATGAACTTTGTGAAGAATTACATAGTAGTATATATTATGATAATATTAATATTAATATTAATAATCATAGCACATTGTCTATCAACAACGTATTAATCAGTTAAAATGTAAGTCATTGTTGTTAAATTAGAGTAATATTTTTAGTATACGTTTTAATAGGATTATTTGAAGATATTGATTGTTTGTAGGATAAACTAAACTATACAAGTCAAGATAGCATAATTTTTAACAGTCATTATTTTCATTTTTACCTACATTCTCTTCTAAATTATGTATAGGTACCTAAGTAAATTAAATAGCAACTTTTCCTTAGAATATTTACTTAAAAAATATGTATATGCTATTACTATTTATTTATAATAGGTTTATTGTTTATGCTATACAATCTATATCTACCTTATCATATATTAAAATTTTGATCTATTGACAGTTAAACAATTTAAAAATGCTGATAACAATTTTTAAGTTAACATTTGATCTTACCTTAATTGTTATTTTTGTTTATTTAATCATATATAGATATATTCTTACATATCCTATCTTACATTTATCATTTTGATATGCTTTAGTATAATTCATAATTCATGATTTTAATGCAACTCTATAATAGCTCAACAATAAAGTTTTAATATTATTTAATATCTCCAATTATAGCTATACCAATCATAATTTTTTTTTTTTGTATTAAATGGTTATATTGACGAGGTATTTTATAATAACTTCTAAATATTTGTTAAAACATGTTTGTTTTATATAATATATGTATTTATTATATTCCAAATTCTATTTTATAATTCAATTATCTGCATTTATTGTGTTAATAATATAAAAAATAGTAATTTTGTTAACACAATAAATGCAGCTGATTAAATTAAAAAATAGAATTTGGAATAATAAATACATGTGGGATTATAATATTATCTGTTATCTATTATTTGCATTATCTATTGCAGCGGTTCTCAACCTTTTTATAGTCGCGTACCACTTACACAATTTGAAAATTTTTACGTACCACCTGACCATTTTTTTTTGCTTATTAATAATGTATACGTTTATGTTATATGTAGGAATCTATAGAATTTTATTTCATTAGGAATTACAAAATGAGATAATATAAAATATAAAAATATATAATATAAAATAAAGTATTTAATTGAGTAATGCACAGAAAGAAAAAAACTTAAACTTAAAAATATAAAAAAAATTAAATATGTAAAATTATTATAATTATTATGGTTTACTTTTTATTTCAATGAGGCGATTGGTGTTGTTTTGAACGGACAATGACGTCAATATCGGGCTCCAAATTGCTAACATTAAGTCTTAAATTATTTTCTACGTTTAATCTACTTCTATATTTATTTTTTGTGTACAATAAGTGAGAAAATGTAATTTCACACAGATATGTTGATACAAAAGGGATTAGAAACTGTAAAGCTTGTGTGGACAATGCCGAGTATTCTTGTTTCACGTCCAGCCAAAAATTAGTGATATTTTTGGTTTTGAAAGCGGTTTTTAGGGTAGAGTCACTGGTTATGTCAATAAATAATTCTTTTGCCAAAATACCTTCTGGAATGTTTTTAATAAAATCATCTTCATAAAATCATCAAATAATAATAATATAACAATAATATTATAAATAATATAATCATCAAAAAAAAGTACGAAAAAACTACATAAAAATATAAAATTTTAATATAAAATACACTTGATACAAACAACGCGTATGCCACTCGTGAATAAACCGAAGGAACTCACGAAACTAAGGTAAAAACACATAATTGTGAAATAAGAATACGCTTTGTCGGGCTTATCCGATAAAGTTTATCGATTTATATTATATTAAAGAGAATATCGTTATCTTAATTGCTACGATTACAAACGACCTCTACACCATCAAATAAACATTAATCAAACCAAATAATATTTAATGTTAATAATAATTCGTACCAATTTTTTTTATAAAGGAAGATTTTCTTCGCGTACCACCTATGAGCTCTCCGCGTACCATTAGTGGTACGCGTACCACAGGTTGAGAACCGCTGATCTATTGTATTGTATTAAGTTATTGTGTCTCCCGGTCAGTGTCGAGTCAACCGTGATTGTGAGTAGGATAAGACGTTTCAGTAATATAATTCTTTTAAAACCAAACATTGTTGTGTTAACCGTTTATGTTACAAACCTTCAACCACAACTTGAAGTTAATACAACATTGTATTAATTTCCACATTTGGGGGCCTGTCCGGTTGTTGGCTCGTATTAACACTCGTTAACAATTAATAAGTCGTGAACTTGTAAAACTAGTTACTAACCTCAAAATTAATTCGTATTTACCAAGTCGCGTGGTCGTGTTGTGGTGCGTGAAGTAAATCGTGAATCGCGATTCATATCTCGTGTTTTTGAACTTGCCAGTTAACTTCCTTACAAAATGGCACCCAGGACGCCGAAGACACGCAAAGCTAAGGCAAATGCAAGAACTAACGAAACTACTGTTGCCATCGAAGAAAAGGATACTGTTAATCAGGTTAGAGAATCGATTAAATTTCATGATGTGCGAGAATCTCTTAATGTATTTACCGGTGATGATACTTATTCAATCATTAAATGGATAGAAGATTTGGAAGAAATGAGCGAAGTATGTGGATGGTCTGATGTTGAACTTTTTATATATAGTAAACGTCTATTGTCGGGGACTGCTGCCCTATATCTACGTTCTGAAACTGGTATTAAGTCATGGAATTTAATGAGGGAATGTTTGATGAATGAGTTTCGTAATAATTTAACTTCGGCTGACGTGCATAGGCAGCTTACAGCCAGAATAAAAAATAATGACGAATCTCATCAGCAGTATTTGTTTAAAATGATGGAAAAAGCAAAACAAGGAGATGTGTCTGAAGATTCACTATTGGATTATGTCATTGCTGGCATTCAGGATAGTGAAGTGAATAAGGCTTTACTTTATGGAGCTACAACAATAAGCGAATTTAAAATAAAGCTACAATTGTATGTTAAGATGAAGTCAAGGATGCACATCTCTAAGTCAGGAATATCTAAGGTTTTTAATGGTGCTGCAAGTAATCATAATGCAGGTAATATAAAACAAAACTCGATGTCTGGTGTTGCGAACACAATAATTAGATGTTATAATTGCGGATCTAAGACACATCAACATAGGGAATGTCCAGACTTGGATAAAGGTCCTAAGTGTTTTGCTTGTAGATCTTTTGGCCACAAATCAACAGAATGCCCTGATAAGGAAACTCAAACAAAGCAAGTGAATAATGATGAAAAACCACAAGTTTATCAAGTGAATGCTATAAATACTAATGAGCGAATATTTAAAGAAATTAATGTCTTAGGAATCCAGACGTTAGCCCTTATAGACACTGGCTGCGATTTGAATTTATGCCGACAGTCATTAATTAAAGGTATTGACGCTGTCAATGCAGAAGTTAGTCTTAGTGGACCAGCTGGAACTATGTTTTGTACCAAGAAAAAATTCATCACTGAATTAGAAGTTGATAATGCTACTTATACAGTAGAAGTATACTCGGTACCTGATGAAGATATAATGTGTGACTTTATAATAGGTAGATCATTATTCCAAACCAATGCTGAACTAAAAATTAGTCCTGGAGTGATTGAAATCAACAAAATAACTATCGAAACAAGTGAGTTTGATGTAGGATCTAGAGAACACTATCCGGTTATAAGGAGTATGATAGCTAACTATGTACCATGTGCTACAGAAACTACACCCATAAAAACCAAAATTATAGTCAGTGATGAAGAACCCATCTATCAGCGATCAAGGCGTTTATCACCAAAAGAAAAAGCAATTGTGGAAAGTCAAGTGGAGGAATGGATTAAGGAAGGAATTATCAGACCTAGCTGCTCAGATTATGCTAGCCCAATTGTAATTGTCCCTAAGAAAGATGGTTCATTTCGGGTATGTGTTGACTATCGTCGATTAAATAATAAAATCATTAAGGATCGTTACCCTTTACCTTTGATAAAAGACCAGCTGGATAAGCTTCAAGGGGCCAGAATATTTTCAACATTAGACCTTAAGAACGGTTTTTTCATGTTTCTATGGACAAAGAGAGTATTAAATATACATCTTTTATTACACCAGAGGCACAATATGAATTTATGAAAACACCATTTGGATTGTGTATTGCTCCACCTATATTTCAGCGCTTTATAAACCATGTATTCAAGGATATAATGCGGATGGGATATTTGTTAATATACATAGATGACTTAGTAATTATTTCAAGCACAGTTGAGGAGAATATGGAAAGACTGAAGATAGTATTAAGAACCGCGGCTAACCATGGTCTGAAAATTAATTGGAAAAAATGTCAATTTCTCAAAAAAGAAATTGATTACCTGGGATATAGAATCAAACACAATAAACTGAGTCCATCACCATTAAAGCTGGCTGCTGTGGTAAAATATCCAAGACTACAGAATCCAAAACATATACAGAGCTTTTTAGGACTGACTGGATATTTTCGAAAATTCATTAAGGACTACGCCTTGATTGCTCGTCCATTGAGCGAAATACTCAAAAAGAGTATACCATTCGTAATTGGGCCTCAACAAGAAAGTGCGTTTAATATGTTAAAGAAAAAATTAACAGAGGCACCCGTATTGGGAATCTTTAATAAAGAAGCAGTTACGGAGGTGCACACTGATGCCAGCATCAGATGGGTTTGGCGCCATACTTTTACAGAAAGATTCCGATAATCTGTTGCACCCTATATACTTTATGAGCAAAAAAACTACCCAAGCACAGCAAAGATACCATAGTTATGAATTAGAAGTTTTAGCAATTGTTGAGGCTGTGAAGAAGTTTAGATCCTATTTATTAGGACTGCAGTTCAAAATAGTAACTGATTGCGCTGCATTTACTAAAACACTAGAAAAAAAGGGAACTTGCTACACGTGTAGCCCGCTGGGCATTGCTGTTGAGCGAATTTAATTACACTATTGAGCATCGAGCCGGGTCCAATATGGCCCATGTAGATGTGTTGAGTCGTTATCCGATATGGATGAATATCAATAGCGAATTTATAGCACAATTGCAGAAAGCACAACAGAATGATATTGAGGTGAAAACCTTAACTACAGAAGCAAGGATGAATGGATGTTTTTCATATATTGTAGAAAATGATTTGCTTTATGAAACACGAGATGACAGAAAATTACTGGTTATTCCAAAAGGTATGCAAAAAGAGTTAATTCGAAATGCACATAATGTTGGCCATTTTGGTGTTAAAAAAGTTGTTGAACTGTTGGATAGAGAATATTCCATTTCTAATGTTCGTGAAAAGGTGGAACGTTTCATTCAAAATTGTGTACCTTGTATTTTGATCAACCGAAAACAAGGGAAACAGGAAGGATTCCTTAACACAATTGACAAAGGTGATCTGCCATTACATACTTGGCACATTGATTTTCTAGGACCATTGACAAATACTCCTCGAGGATACAAGCATATTCTGGTTATTATTGATGCATTTACAAAATTCTGTTGGCTCTTTCCAACAAGAAGTACTACATCGAAAGAAGTTGTGGACAAAATGAATATATTACAAGCTACATTTGGTAATCCAACACGATTGATATCTGACCATGGTGCTGCATTCACATCTGGAGAGTTCAAAAAATACTGTAGTGATTCACACATATATCATGTGCAGATTACTACAGGAATGCCAAGAGGAAATGGACAAGTCGAGAGATTGAATGATACAATAGCGACAGTAGTGGCAAAATTGACTATTGATGATCCAGGGCAATGGTTTAGGTATGTCCCAAGAGTGCAGATGGCGTTAAATAGTTCATGGCAGCGATCAATTAATATGACTCCATTTAAATTAACGTTTGGAACTGAAATGAAACATCCAGATCTACTCCCATTATGCAGTTTAATAAAAGAAGAGTATGCAAAAAGTTTTTTGGAAAAAAGAGAAGCAGAGCGTCAAGAGGCTAAACAATGCATACTAAAAGCTCAGCAAGAACAAAAGAAAACATTTGATCATAGAAGAGTAGCAGCAACAGATTACAGGATTGGTGACCTAGTTGCTATTAAAAGAACACAATTTCTTCCTCTATCCAAGATAAAGAGCAAGTACCTTGGACCATATCGTATCACTGGTAAATGTGGTCCGAACCGATATGAAGTGTGGAAGGTGGGCTCAGGTGAAGGACCTGAAAAAACTAGCACGGGAACGGATTATATGAAAAACTGGAAAAACTGCCAAACTTCAGATGAAGATGATGAAGATTCAGTGTCCGAGGCGGACTCTGCTTAAGATGGGGGTGTATGTGGAATTATATTATCTGTTATCTATTGTTTGCATTATCTATTGTATTGTATTAAGTTATTGCGTCTCCCGGTCAGTGTCGAGTGAACCGTTATTGTGAGTAGGTTAAGACGTTTCAGTAATATAATTCTTTTAAAACCAAACATTGTTGTGTTAACCGTTTATGTTACAAACCTTCATCCACAACTTGAAGTTAATACAACATTGTATTAACTTCCACATACATATATTATATAATATTATAAAATATATCCATCTTAATATAACTATCTTATTTAAAAAAAAATATGATATAGGTAGCTATAATGAAAGATATAGATATATAAAGATAATAGTTACTTGTATTTTACATTTTTAGTATCATATTTTATCTGATTAAATTAATTGAGTACTATTTTTTCTGACATAGGTAAATAACAGTAGTCCAGCCAGAAGCCCAGATTACACTTTTAAAGAAGACATTAGTGCCTGGGCTATCCAATGTAAAATCTCTCACATTGCACTCAATAAATTGTTGAAAGTTCTTAAGAAAAATAAACATATTTACACAGATAATTTATCTAATGATAGTAGATCATTGTTAATAACACCTAAATGAACTGGATTAAAATTACTGCCTGTTAATCCTGGAAAATATTTTCATTTTGGATTAGAATCAGGACTTCTTCGTTATGCCACTTCTAATTTAAGTAAAATTAAAGTAGCAATATGCATTGATGGCCTCCCATTGTCTAAAAGTAGTAATAGCCAGTTTTGGCCCATTTTAGCCTATGTGATTGGACTACCAACTAAACAAGTATTTCCTGTAGGAATATATCATGGGTACGAGAAACCTAAAGATAGTGACTTGTTTTTAGATGAATTTGTTAAAGAAGCTCAACATCTTGTTAATAATGGCATTACAATTAATGAAACTACTTCAATAAAAGTAATTATTGATGTATTTTGTTGTGATGCACCAGCTCGTGCATTTCTTCTTAAAATAAAATATCATTTTGGGTTTTTTTCTTGTTCACGTTGCATTATTGAAGGTGAATACTATAAAAACCGTGTATGTTTTCCTTATTCTAATATAGAAATAACTAAAAGAACTCACGATTCGTATACAAATCTTATGTATTAAGATCACCATACATATAGATCAACAACACCATCCAAGTTGATAGAAATTCCTAATTTAAATTTAGTGTCTTCGTTTTCAATGGACTACATGCACTTGAATCTTTTTGGTGTTACAAGGAAATTAATATTATTATGGTTGAGTAAAGGTCCAGTTAATGTTCGTCTGAATAGTTTGTCTATTGGAAAATTAAATAAGTCTTTATTAGACATTAAACAATACATCACCAGTGATTTTGTCAGAAAAACTAGGCCAATTAATGAAATTAACCGCTGGAAAGCTACAGAACTTCATTTATTTTTAATTTACATTGGTCCCATTGTCTTGAAAAATGTAGTGAAATATGAAGTTTATATTAACTTTATGTCATTTAATGTAGCAATGATGATTTTATTAAGTAATGATCACAGCCATATTGTACAATTTGCAGATAAACTATGTAACGTCACAGAATTTTAGGCCTTACTTAATATTATTATAGTTCCCCTGAGCATGTTATTTTTCATTATTATTATTACTTATGATTACATTATGATATTATTATATTTATCGCGCGCCAATGCATAAATGACCACAATGTTACATAACACCTGACCCCGGCCCCCACAACCCGCAGTGTCCGCCCGCCAACAGGCCGCTGCCGTTGCCGGTCGTCACCGCCGGTCGCAACTGTCGCGTCCGTCGATACGCACCGACAAAGCAGTCTGTTTTCCCAATTATTATTGTAAACGTCCCTATAATGCGACACTGACCTTCCCCACCACGTCAACATCAACGGCCACGACCAGCGGCAAGACAACATCAGCCGTCTTTACACACACATTTTCCGAGACCGCTGAACGAACCAGACGTTTCGACTTTCGGTACCGTGACGCATCCCGGGTTTTCTACGACGACCACAACCGCGTGTCGACCACCATCACTTCGCGTGTGAATCTCATCTTATTGTTTTAATCGACGGGAACCAACCGCCATGATGGGCTAAGTACAGCTCACGGGCCCGATGGTGGGCAAAGCTGCTGAACCAGTCAACCTCCCTGCCGCCGTCACCATCCGAGGCGGTTTGATCGATGACAGATGGGCCATGCCGGCCGCGTGTGTGCCGGTGGTATTAACCAGCCCATCCAGTTCCTCGGTCAACAACACATCTCAAGCTCAACGTCGTCAGAGTAATACCTCCCAAATTTTCCCCCCTTCTTTTTTTATTTTTTGTCACTTAAAAGCACGATCCTTGTGAAATGTGCGTTTCAGAACGTCCAGGTGTGGTTGCCATTGGGGCCTAGCGGGTAACCTCCTACGCGTTCACATACAGCTGGCGTAAAAAACCAGCTGTCCCTGTGCGCGTTTAAGTAGGGGGCCCCGGACCACACTTACAGACGTTCGAACTTTCATTTCCCCCCCAAATCATTTAAACTGCCCCGGTAACCCTGTGGAGACCACCACGAGTAATGTGATGTGTCGATCCCCGTGGGCCGAGCGTTGTTTTTTTTTGTTTCCCATGTGCCCTTTTATATTTTATACCTACTTGCCATGTGCCATGCTATATATTTTATTTTTGTTAAACTGAAAAATGTCAAAACCTTATTTAAATTATCTACAATCAAAAAACCTGTAAAATACATCCACGTGATTACCCTAATATTGCTCTTATTATTTATTTTCATTAACTTATTTTTTTTTTTCTCTCTCTCTCTCCCCACATAAATCCTCGGCATTCAGCTTGCCGTTGCGTGTATCAAAGCCTGTGAGCTCCACCGACTTGACCCTCGGGTCTCACGCGGTGCGGCTCACAGGTCATGAGGAAAGTGTTCCCCTTTCGTCATGGGTGGTTTTGGTGGCCTTAAAAAGTCACTAACTCTCACAACTACTACATTATTTTGTTGAGTCTTTTGAGAAATTATATGGCACCGAACATGTATCATTCAATATGCATGGTTTATTACATCTCATTGATGATTATCATAGGTTTGGGCCATTGGATAATTCTAGTGCATTTGTGTTTGAAAATTTCATGAAAGAACTAAAAACAAAAGTACGGAAACATGATCAATGTTTAGAACAAGTCATTAATAGATATTCAGAACTGCAAAACAATGTCAACCCGGAACAACACAATAATTTAGAACAAAAGTTTCCCAAACTTGAACATATACACCAAAATGGACCTGTAGAAACCAATTTAACTGGCACCCAATACAAATGCCTCAAACTAGAAAAGTTTAAAGTAAATGTGGATAGTGAAAAAGATTGTTATAATAAATTATTCTGTCTAAATCTGGAGAAGTAGTTAAATGCATGAATATAATAAATACAACTCATCAAGGTATAATTATTCTGGGAAAAGTGTTTAATTCAGTATTACCATATTATAATAAGCCGATGGATTCATCCATATTTAATATATTTGTACCTAGTAAGAAATATATCTGATACTTTAAAACATTGGATATTGACAGATATTAAAAAAAAAATAATGATTATACAACATGCTGATCAAACTATAGCCATACTTCACTAAAAAATAACAATACCTTGATTTTAGAAGCTCAAGTTACACTTTCAAAGCTCTTAAATTAGGAGTTGAAAATTTGGATTTTTTTTACTAAATTATGGTTGTATCACATGGCTTATTGATAAGAGATAACACATTTTCGATGATAACAAAACGTTTACAAAACGTTCCAAAAAATATTTTTGTAGAGGCAGAATTTTATTTCCCTTATCTAGCATAAAATTAACCGCTGTTATCAAAAAATAACACAATTGTTCCAAGTCACCTCCCAGTTCCAAGTCACCCGGGTTGACGGTACCACTAATACATACTGAATGTTAAAATTCAAATCATTAATTTAGGATTTAAATTTTGTAAATAATGTAATTTTTTCTTATAATTTTAAATTATTACTCTAATACTTATAGAACTTATAGTATTTTCATTAACAATTTCAGGTACATATATATAACAATGGACTCATGGATTGTTGTCAATTATTTGGAGGATGAATCGGTTGAAGCAGTACCAAACTTTTGGTATCATCAAAATAAATGTATTTGGCCCAACAAAAAAAATATTCTTAAGCACTGTATCGTTAAAAGAATCCCAATAACAGAATTTGATCACACATATTTAAAAGATAGAATTCTATGTTTAGATGGTAATTTAAATTGTTTTATTAATTATTATTGTTAACTTCTTGAAAATAATGCTAAACATCAAGCCAACAGACCAGTAATTGAACCTAGATTTTGATTACTCGCAGCCATTGAGTTACTCAACCGCATTTACCTCAACGTTATTGCCAATCCCTGTTAACATTATTGACTGATAAATAATATCTTATAAATTTATTAGTACATATATTTTTTCTAATTTATATTTATAGTATCATATGAAGAAGCAAGGAAAAAGGCTTCCAAGGCGCAATATGATTCTGAATTGTCAGGTATTGAAGAAATGAAAAGTTCTAGAAAAGCCAGGGAAAAAAAGACAGAAGTTACAGTTCTTCTCCATCACCTTTGACAGTGCAAAAAACATCTAACACAATTAGAGTAATTAAATCTCCTCCTCTACTGCAGAGCACTGCACATGTTATGTCAAATATTGGAACAGATCAAAGTATTTATTCGCCAACAAAAACAGTTCAAAAGCAAAAGTTACATGGAGAAACTGTATTTTCTATGTATAATTCAATTGTAGGTTCATCAAATTCTAGTGAGATTGATAATGATGATGAATCGAAAGATCCTGATTATTCAATCATGGGTAATTTTTTTTTTTTTTTTCATTAAAACTACAGATAATTAGTAGTATAATTAATATGTTTATAGTATAAAATGATAATATACTTTTATCATAATTGGTTATATTATATGGTGGAATATGCCATACAAATATTTAAAGACTAGTAATTGCACCTACTACACAGTGCTGCAATTACATGCTAAATATTTGTATAGTATGGGATATCTGTCTGTGATATTATATATAAATATATTATATAATCAATTATTTTTGTAATATGTGCAGAAGGGGTGGATGGATAAAGAAGAAAATCTAAAATATAATTTTGTATGAATTATTTTCAAGAAATCTAATATGAAATATTTATTTTATAGACTTAAGGCCTGCTGAAACATATGACTGCACTATTATACATTCACCTGCTGGTAAATTTCTTGTAGAACTAAACGATGAACTAAAAGATAATACAGGTATTTTATTACATTGTTTATAGATTATATTTTATAGAAGTAAGTTTACCATTGTATGTCCGACTAATTTGGATCCCTTCTTCTCTTTTAAAATTGTTTCTTGTTACTCATCTATAAATTCATGATATATTATAAATAATGAAATGATATGCAACCATACTAGCAAAGCTTGCGACCGGTATTACTTTAGATTTTCAATATTGGTTTCGCATCTCATGAAAATATTTAAAATGACGCCCCTGATTATGTATGTTAGTCCACAGAATATTAACCTATTACGTTAATCCTATTGTTTTTTTAGTGTTTGGGCCGTTGTTTTATATCTATAATTACTTTACTAAATGAAAAAAAAACATTAAAATCAGAAATACTATCCAATTTGTTCACAATTAATATTATATTTTTTTTAAGGAAATTCAAAGGCTATTGAAGTAAACAATATTAAAACAAATTTACCGAGCAAAAATTATAAAAGGAAGTTGTTTAATAATGAAAAATTATTGAGTGAGTGGTGTTATAAAATATATATTATAATGAACTATTAGTTTCATCATAATACACAAATTATAAATTGGAAATATAATAATATAATATAATATAATATATTGTGTTGTTTAAATTTATGCTTTTAGCATCTCCTCGCAAGCCTGCAGTTAAACAGAGTAGAATGGTGATTGATCAAGCAGGTAATTTTTAAATATGTAAATTAGAAATTATTAATTTTTGAAATTAGGGTTGAAATTAGTATTAAATAATACATTTTTTATTTAGATTTTCAAAAATTGGTTACAAAACAACTTGTCACATTAAGATATACAGTTGGTGTTATGAATACAAGCATTGCTGCAACCTTACAAAACATTGAACAAAAAATTGATGGATATTTCAAGTATGCAGCTACTGGAAATATGAGTGGTATTACAAACGGTTCAATTGATGATGGTTTCTTGTGGCCATTAGAAAATGAAGAACAACTTCAGGAATTGGAACAAACACTTAAAAATAATGATAACAACTTTAACCGTTGTCTAGTTAGTTCTAATTTATTAGAATGATAGTGTGGATGCATTTTATAAACTATTTCACCATACAGTGATTACATAATATTATGTTTTGTTTGCAGGTAAATAAAATGCAGTCTTGTAAAGTATTCGAATAAAAGTATTTGAATACTTTATTTTGTATTTGAATACTATTCTAAATAGATTAAAAAAAATATATTCGAATACGTATTCTGAATATCTTTTTTTAGTATTTTTATTTTATATTTAAATACTAAATTTGAAAAAAAAAAATGTTGTGTTTATAAATTATAATCCTGGGTATTGCCGTAGTGAGCATTAAAAACATAAAACTTAGTATTAGCCATAGACATTAAACTAGTTGAGTTGATGTGAGGTGTACTACCTACCAGCGTTGTCACGTTTATACGCCGGAATTGCATACATACTCAAGCATTTTTTCTCAAAGTGAGTAGAATACTTAAAATGTTATGAGGGTTTTAGGTGAATTTGATCAAATTAATCCTAAATTTAATTGTAAATGCAACACTTCCATTCAGTCTAGTTGAACAAAATGATTTTAAATTACTTTGCCAAAAAGGATTTCCTAGTCGTACACATTGCTTTCACGACCAACCCTGATGTGTAGATTGAATGCAGCATTTGATCATCGTTTATGTAATTTAATTAAAGATATGTCTAGTGTTAAATACCTTACAACTACAGCTGATTGTTGGAGCATTTTTAAAAGGTATAGATATACATTTTTTATTATTAAGATCACTAAATTCTAAAATGTTCTTTTCTAGTAAGTATTATAAATTATAATATAACTTTATATAGATCATACATTGGTATTACATATGCCACTGGATCGATGAAGAAAACTTAAGTAGGAAATCTGTTTTTTTGACAGTTAAAAGATTGGATGGGCGATATACATTTGATGTGCTAGCTGGTGCAATGGAATCAGTTTATATAAAATTTGAGATTCTAAACAAAATATCTTTTACAATAACTGACAATGGGTCTAATTTTGTTAAAAGTTTCAAGTAATTTATAAAATGTAACAAAATGTAAATTTTTTTCTTATTACTCTATAGTTTATTAATTATTAGTATACAATTATTATGTAGAATATAATAAAGAAAAGTTATAATAAATTAATGTGTCTACTCACTACTGTCTATGACTTAAACATATAAAAAAAAGTGTATTAAAAAAAATAGTATTCTCAAAGTATTCGAATAATTTTTTGAGTATTCCAGAATATATTCTAAATATATTTTGTGAAAATTATTCAAATACGTATTTTGAATACCTTTTTAACGTTTATTCGAATACATATTCCGAATACAAAATAAAAGTATTCTTTACAAGACTGATAAAATGTCGCTTATGAACTCCAATGCAGTTGAACGTAGTGTCCGCAGAATCTTAAAGTATATGTTTACTGATGAACTCCTTGAGCAATTTTCATACACAGGATTTAAAAAACCCAAAAAGTCGTTTTCAAAATTAATCTCATGCCAAATTGTTATAGGTATTATTATTTTATTCTTTAAATTTCATAATTATTATTAATTTTATAATTAACTACATTTGTATTTACACTGTAGGTACATATAAATTATATATAAATTATGCATGGTAAATAATTAATGCTAGGCATCGGTAGTTATAGAAATCCTTTATTATTATTTATTATTATTATTTATTACAAAATATTGTCTCTATGGAAATAGAAAATAGTAATTTAAATATTAAAAAAATTAAATTTAATAGCATCTCAAATGATTGCAATTTGCACTATAGAAAATATTATTTGTTACTTAAATCTTTCATAACTAAATTCTTTAAAGTGTATTGCTTATACTTAGTAATTGTTTAGATAACATTTTACCAGCAAGTCCTTTTCATTTATTGATGTTCCTGAGAAAACCCATTATTAAACACTTGATATATTGCAATTAATTCATCTTAATATTTATTAAAAACAAAAAAGAAATAATTAATACATTTTGATAGAAAATTTTTAAATTTAACATATTATAATATATAATCATTCATACTAATAACTTATTTAAACTGTCTTGAAATTATTTTTCTCAATAAATATTTATTAAAAATCAAAATACATACATATATAATATTCAAATAATTCATAATAGCTTTACTTTTAACAGTTTTAAACAACTATTATAATTATTAAACTTATATTAAAAGTTTCTACAACTATTACCAATCCAACCAATACAAATATTATATAATATAAAATCTTTATCTGTTTTGTTTTAGATGCTATACGGAGTTCCTCTCTATTTAAAACCACAACACTGCCGAATATAGAAAAAAAAAATTGGCTGGCTCAAGCAAAATTTCGAAAAATCTCCAGTATCTATTTTATTAGATAGATTTATTATTATAGTATTAATACTTCACACATTTTAGTTTTAAGCTTTTTTAAAATTTCATAAGTATATTAATAATGATATTGTTCTTATTTTCATCAACTATATTTAAAATTGTTTTTATTTGATATTGTTTTTAAATTGTTTTGGTCAATACAAAAATGTACAAAATTTTATGATGATAAGAAATTAATTATTAAAAATATATTCTATATAATGATTCAAATAATGTATGTTTTTTTTTTTAATAAGATTATATGGTAGTTACCATAGAAAATAATTATTATGTTCTACAGTTTACACGTTTAGCAGTGGCACAACCAGTGAGCAAAGGGTCGTTAAGTCCAGACACCCCCCTCCCCTCACCATGGAGCTCTAGATTAATTATACCATTATAGCAGGGGTCTCCAAACTTTTTTATTCAAGGGCCACAAAAAAAATCAAATGCTCTTGGCGGGCCAAAAGTTTATTAACACATATAATTTTTAATTTTATGATAATATATTAGGTACCTACTACCTACCTATATAAATAATATGTTTACTTTATATTTTTGTATAAAATATTGTTTACTTTACAATATACTTAAATAAAAATAAATAGGTATAAATATAATATAATATTATTACATTTTTGAAATAATTTTTTTATCTATATTTACCTATGCGTCCTATGAGGGCCACGGGCCGGTTAAAACTTGTTCGCGGGCCGTATCCGGCCCGCGGGCCGTACTTTGGAGACCCCTGCATTACAGGTACCAGATTTATTTTTTAGTTGAAATGTCTATGTTCTAACAAGTATGGGCAACCCTCTTTGAAATAATTCTGATTTACCACTGCATTTTAACATTTGTACAATTTGTTAGGTTACAATTATGGATTAAGTAATTGCCCTAA